GAGTTGCATCCAACCACCATCCCATCATAATACCAGTTATAATAAACTTCAGAGCTAAGGGTGAACCATTCAGCATATATATGTTTGCTGAAGATATTTTAAAGGCAGTCACACCAGTGAGCTGGTGGAAGTCACTTAAGCACTTAGATTCGATTCAGAGACCGCTGAATTGATAATCTCACTTGCATAGAATCATAGAACACTAGAAATGGAAGGGACCTCGAGAGGTCATTGAGTTCAGTCCCCTGCCCTCACAGCAGGACCAAGAACTATCTACCATTCCTGATAGATGTCTACCTAACCTGCTCTTAATCTCCAGAGATAGAGATGCCACAACCTCCCTAGACAATTAATTCCAGTGTTTAATCACCCTGACAGTTAGGAAGTTTTTCCTAATGTCCAACCTAAACCTCCCTTGCTGTAGTTTAAGTTCACTGCTTCTTGTCCTATCCTTAAAGGCCAAGGAGAACAATTTGTCTCCCTCTTTGTGATACCCTTTTAGATACTCAAAAAGTGCTATCATGTCCCCTCTCAGTCTTCTCCTTTCTAAACTAAACAAGCCCAGTTCTTTCAGTCTTCCCTCATAGCTCATGTGCTCTGGACCTATAATCATTCTTGTTGCTCTTCTCTGGACCTTCTCCAATTTCTCCACATCTTCCTTGAAATGTGTTGCCCAGAATTGGATACGATACTCCAATTGAGGCCTAATCAGCACAGAGTAGAGCGGAAGAATGACTTCTCATGTCTTGCTCACAACACTCCTGTTAATGCATCCCAGAATCATGTTTGCTTTTTTTGCAACAGCATCATACTGTTGACTTATTTAGCTTGTGGTCCACTATGACCCCTAAATCCCTTTCTCTAGTACTCCTTCCTAGACAGTCACTTCCCATTCTGTATTTGTGAAACAGATTGTTCCTTCCTAAGTGGAGTACTTTGAAAATGTCCTTATTAAACTTATTATCCTATTTATCTCAGACCATTTCTCTAGTTTGTCCAGATCATTTGGAATTATGACCCTATCCTCAAAGCACTTGCAACCCTTTCCAGCTTCGTATCACCTGCAAACTTATTAAGCATACTCTCTGCCAGGCCTACCGAACACGTGGACCGCAGCTCATTTATTTTCGGCTTGCGGTGAGGTTTAGGTTTATGTGTGGCTCAATATAAGGCCCGCAGGTGGGATACTTTGAACAAGACCTCCACTGGGAACATGCTCCACAATGGTGAGGCATCTCCCAGGAGGGGTGAGTATTGAAAGATGCAAGCGGACGGGGTGGCTGGAACAGACAGATACAGGGTGTCAGCATTACTAACCCCCAGGGAGGAGGTGCCGGGAGCGCCGGGGCATTGTGGGAAGTGCTTTGTATTCATTCCCGTCAGTGTGAAATAAGCTAGTTGCATATATATTTGCATGTATATGCAACCACACTTAACTTGCAGCACTCGGCATGTGCTGAGAGTGTCATTGTAGCCCCTGGGACTTCCAAAGTTGAGTAGCCCTGCTCTATGCCAATATCTAAATCATTGATGAAAATATCGAATAGAACCAGTCGCAAAACAGACCCCTGCAGAACCCCACTTGTTACGCCCTTCCAGCAGGACTGGGAACTGTTAATAATTACTCTCGGAGAATGGTTATCCAGCCAGTTATGCACCCACTTCATAGTAGCCCCATCTAAGTTGTATTTGCCCAGTTTATTAATAAGATCATGTGAGACCATATCAAATACATTACTAAAGTCTAGGAACACCACGTCCACTACTTCTCCTGTATCCACAAGACTTGTTCTCCTATTAAGGAAAGCTATCAGATTGGTTTGACATGATTAGTTCTTTACAAGTCCATGCTGGCAGTTACCTATTACCTTACTTCCTTCCAGATATTTGCAGATGAATTCCTTAACTACTTGCTCCATTATCTTCCCTGCACACAAGTTAAACTGACTGGTCTGTAGTTTCATGGGTTGTTCTTATTTCCTTTTTATAGATGGGCACTATATTTGACCTATTCCAGTCTTCTGGAATCCTGTCTTCCATGATTTTTCAAAGATAGTTCCTTCAGTATTCTAGGATGCATTTCATCAGGCCCTGATGACTTGCAGACATATCACTTTTTAAGTAATTTTTAACTTGTTTCTTTTTTTATTTTATTTTATCTTCTAAACCTACTACCTTCCCACTAACATTCACTATGTTAGGCATTCCCTCATCAGACTTCTTAGTGAAGACTGAAACAAAGACGACATTAAGCACCTCTGCCGTTTCCAAGTTTCCTGTTATTGTTTCTCCCTCCTCACTGAGCAATGGGCTTACCCTGTCCTTGGGTCTTCCTTTTGCTTCTAAAATATGTATAGAAAGTCTTCTTGTTGTCCTTTATGTCTGTAGCTAGTTTGAACTCGTTTTGTGCCTTTGCCTTTCTAATCTTGCCCCGCATACCTGTATTGTTTGCTTATATTCATCCTTTGTAATTTGTCCTACTTTCCATTTTTTAATAGAACTCCTTTTCGATTTTGAAATCATACAAGATCTCCTGGATAAGCCAAGGTGGTCTTTTGCCATACTTTCTATCTTTCCTACACAGTGGAATGGGTTGCTTCCGAGCCCTAAATAATGCCCCTTTGAAAAACTGCCAACTCTTTTCAGTTGCTTTTCCTCTTAGTCTTGCTTCCCATGGGACCTCACCTACCAGCTCCCCGAGTTTACTAAAATCTGCCTTCCTGAAATCCATTGTGTCTATTTTGCTGTTCTCCCTTCTATCATTCCTTAGAATCATGAACTCTATGATTTTGTGATCACTTTCATCCAAGCTGCCTTCCACTTTCAAATTCTCAACCAGTTCCTCCCTATTTGTTAAAATCAAATCTAGAACAGCTTCCCCCCAGTAGCTTTTTCAGCTGCTGCGGCTTTGCTCCCGGTGTCTCTGGTCTGCTAGGGACCGTCTCCAACAGACCAGGGACACCGGGAGCGAAGCCGCAGCCGCGGCGGGGGGCCCCCGCCGCCCGGCTCTTACCGCTAATTAATCTGAAAATGGTTTTTCAAATTTGTTCTAACTATAATTAAGCTGAAGAAACCCCAAAATTCAAATTCCAGTCTGTGTTTTGAACACATCAAAAGTTTTGCATCTGCAGTGTTGAATATAGGATTTTGTTGTTTTGCTCCCGGTGCCTCTGGTCTGCTGGGGACCGTCTCCAGCAGACCAGGGACACCCAGAGCAAAGCCGCAGCGGCGGTGGGGTCCCGCGCCTCTGAGGCTTTGCCGGAGCAAAGCCTCAGAAGCGCGGGAACCCGCCGCTGCTGTGGCTTCGCTCCCGGTGCCCCTGATCTGCTGGAGATGGTCTCCAGCAGACCAGGGGCACCGGGAACAGCTTTTCTCGCCCCGGAGGTCGAGGTGGCGGATCGCTGCCTGCGAGCTCCAGGGGGAGAAAGCCCCTTTCGTAAGTGCAGATCCGACATAAGTCGGATCCGCGTAAGTCGGGGACTGCCTGTACATTTGGTCCTAGAGCAATTCAATCCTGCTCCTATTACTGAAAGCAGAAAGACGTGAGGTTAAATACACCATTGGAAATCTCTCCTTGCCTTACAAACACAGACCAAAAGAACTTTTAAAATGAAGTCCATGTCTAGATAATGAGATACATATATACATACATAAATAATCAGGAGTTGATGCTACTATACTTTTCTGGAGGAAAAAATAGAGCTCTATTACCATGCTGCCTCCTATTGACAAGAGTGCAAAAAGAAAGACGAAATGGCTGAACAACAAGCGGTAATTTATTATGACCATAAAAACAAGAGTTTATGCTGTAACCAAATTGAAGACATTCTAAAGAAAGTCTGAACACTTTGACATTATTACAGTTCTACTTTCTATTCCCATCTCCATCACAGCCTATGCGCTAAGGACACATTTCAACTACATAGAAAGCAAGTAATTTTAAAATATATATTGTCTAGGAATTAGGATTGTAACCTACTATATGAATGAAAGGACCCCCTTGCACGTTAGCTCATTTTCCTCAATGTTTGATATAAAAAATCCAGTGTATACAATGTAAATTATTTATTCAATATTTGCAAACAACATTTTTGTTTCATGAGGGATGATTGTGTGATCTTGGATAAGTTTCTCTATACTTCAGTTTTCTTATTTGTAAAACTCCAAGGATTACCTGGTGTTGCTAGTGTCCTTAGCTCAAATTTTGTTTTTTCATTTAAATCATTGTTCTTGGGTGGAGCTAAAGGATTCAGTATGTGAGCTGCCCCAGAGAGAGAGGACAACTGCAGCCCTCCTCTCACCACATTAGATTGGGACACAGTGAGAAGTGCCTGTCCATGGCTGCTGCAGCTCTGGTAAGCATAGCCGTTGGAAGGGTGCATGTCAACCAGCTGGGGGACAGACAGACAGACACATACAAACTCACTATCTGAAATATATAGCAGATAGTCTCTTTCTCCACCCCTGCCCCAATGGGGTTATTGCTGTTCTGGTCCCCTTCTCTGGTCCTTTGCTGCTGCCCTCTTTGGTCATTCTGTAGTTTAACTCCCTCCTACCAGACCCCTCCCTTTCCATGTTATGAGAAAACTGAATTCCGGGCACATTCCATTGTCCTGGCACAACAAATCCTGACTTTGCTTTAAATTATGATAAAAGGAAGCTGCATACCAAATTTGGTGATCCTAGCTCTTACCATTTAGGAGGAGTTCTTGAACAAATTGACAGACAGATGCAAATTTCTAAAATACATAGTACGACTAAGATTAATGCTTATTTTCATAGGTGTGTGGTAAGATTAAATTAACTGATGTCCTTTCCTCAGATACCATGTAAAAGAATTATAATAAAATACATTCTGAGAAGCAAAGAAAGAAATATTACAGCTAGTTTAAACTGAATAGGTGTTTCCATATATCGTAGTGCACTACTCTGCATTAGAATAGCAGCATAAACAAGAACAATTAAAACGAGCAAAAAGTGTATATATTTTCTCCACTTACCTTTTCCTTATTGTTATGTCTGACAGTGGTACACATCTTAGGCCAGCTCCTAATACCATGAGGGAGGATGTTAACAACATTGTTACCCTGAGACCTAAGACAAACAAAAATTGCAATGTGTTACAATTTTTAGAAATAAAGCAGCAATATTGCTAAGAATGAAACTGAATACATATACATACATGTAACATGAAATCAACTGACACACACCATAATTTTAATAAATATCTACACAATCATGAAGCCTTTGCTATTGCATATTGTATATCAACCATGACTTCACATTATAAAATACGAAACACTTCAAGATTCAAGCTCCAACCTTTTAAAACTTTATGCCGGACCTTTAAAAGAGAAAAATACTATAGTTTCACAGGTACTCATGCTGAAGTTTCCTTATTATGCACAACTGAAGTATTACAACAACATACAATCTAAAAAAATCTCTGTACTACATATGCAAAAAGAGAAATGTACCCCACACATGCTCTTTTCTGAACACTAAATGAAATAGTGAGATCTTGGAAAGGGGAGGGTTTGCTGCATTCTTTCATATTTATTTCAAGATGAAAAGTAAATCTACTTTATTTGCTGGAAAAAATTGCTTCCTTTGAAGTACTTGAAATTAAGACAAGTTTTTGATGTATTCAGATCAAGTTGTCAGAAGTTATGTATATAATACATTTTTAAAAGTTACAATTGACATACTGTTTATACATTTTCCCCTCCAAATCTATGATTCAGAATTGAGAAACTGCTAGATCAGGGCTGGGCAAAATACGGCCCATGACGCGAATATGGCCCTCAAAGCCACTGGATCCAGCCTGTGGACCATCCTGCCAGAACCCTCAAGCACACACCTGCTGCAGGTTTAAAGCACAGTCTAGAAGCTCTCTGCTCTGGAGGGAGGGGGGAGATTTCCTGTGATCTCTCCACCTACCTCCAGCCCAATCCTCAGCTCCCATTGGCCAGAAACAACAATGTTCCATGCAGCATTTTCATGGAACCTGGGATCAGCTGGGGATTCTCCAGCTGATCCAGGACTCCATGCAGCATTTCTGCAGAACCCGGGATCAGCAAAGGAGGGGAAGCAACCAGTCAACGCAACTAGTCCTTAACATCCTTATCCTGCACCCAAACACACTCCCAGACCTGCACCCCAATCTCCTGAACCAAGTCACAATCCCCTCTTTCACCCAAACTCCCTCTCACACTTCCCACTGTCTCCTGCATCTCAGTCCCTTACCCTGTGCATCTTTCTGTACCTAGCCTCCATCCTAAATCCCACATCTCCTCTACAGAGAAGTGTGGCCCTTGACCACTTTCCAAAATCTTGGCATAGCCTCCTACCAAAAATTATTGCCCAACCCCATGCTAGACAGGAAACAACTTCATCTTTAGTGCTGTAATTTAATTTACCAACAATTTACTTACTACTAATGATGTGTTTATCATCAACGAATAGAAGTGCTGATATACCTTGACAGCACTTGTACATTGTATATTTATGTGACCATAAATTTAATATCTACATGGCAATACAACTTGAAGTTAATGCACAGCAAAAGAAAACATTGCATGTAGCAAGATGTGTGTCCCTCGAGGTGCAGAGACTAGTGGAATAAAAAAAATTATATAAAACTTAAGTATTAATAGACAAATAAGAAATCTTAACGTTTCTTGTTCTAAACTTCCTATCATTCATAGATTCTGGGATTTACCACCATTTCTGACCTCCAAATGAACTTATTAGGCTTTCCAATTTTTCTGGAGCTTTCATCCCATAACATAATCTTTAATTCTGGGAGACTCCAGGACAATCCTGGAGTGTTGGCAACCCTAGTTTTTATGTACAAATGCAATTAAGCCCAGCCCAGGTTGCACCAATGTTGTGCTACCCATGCATGCAACATTATCTACTGTGTGCACAAGAAAAACTATCTGACTGTGGTCCCATTCTGTCCAATGCCCTTACCCAAATGAGCACAGAGGAGGGTGCTATTTGAAAATCATGACCACACAGTACGACCTAGCTCGCCCTACGCATGCAAGGTCACACTGCGTGGAGGACACCATTTTGCGGAATGGTAGACATACAAGTGTGAAACTGAATACTCCACGTATGCCCTGGAAAATCGGACTAAGATAAGCTGCAGTCAGCTCAAGTTCTGTTAAATTTATATACAGGAGAAAATATAACCTTATATAGTACACTATAGAGAATATGCATACTAAAATTGCCATGTTAAACAAAGCCCTTAGATAGTTATAAACTTAATTACATTGAAACTTTAGATTTTGTTTTAGAAAACAGTACTTAAATATTTTAAGAGCTTAAAAGCCAAGAGGTAGATGCTATTGTGTCTACTTCATTAGTATACCTGATTCTTTTAAATGAATCCTTGAAAAATGTTTTATACAATTTTGTTTCATATGTTCCTCTATTTTCTGGTCTGTACCATATACTCTCAGACTAGCCAACACTTTGCAAAACACTATTTCTCTGTGAGAGCTTAAGGCATAGATTAAAGTGCCACATTGTATATAAACCTCAGTTTGAAATACAGTCTAATTAATCAGAAAATAAAGAGGATACCAAGTATGCCTAGAAAGGGCATGGAAGAGATCATTGTTATTGTGTTTACCTCACCAGTGCCATCCTATAGCTGAGACAAGCCAGTGCAAATGTAAAATTGAATACACAAGGCATGCAAGTGTACATATTAATCATCTGTGATAGAAGAAAGCTAGTGGCATAAACTCAGTTTAGTGCAGAATTTGATAATTTAGTGTGATTGTGTAACATCAGTGGTTTTCAAACTGTTAGGACTCCAAAGTGGTTATTTAATGGGGCTGTGAGGACTGGCTTAGACTTGCTGGGGCATAAGGTTAAAGCCCTGGACAATGGGGCTCAGGTTACAGGCCTAGGATTTCCAGCTGTCTGGTATTGACCCAGAGAGTCCGGTATTTTTTCCTCCTGTCCGGTAAAAAGAAATCAGAAAATACCAGACATCTAAACTGTCTGGTATTTTCTGATTTTTTTCCTGGCCAGGAAGCAAAAATCCTAGGTGCTTACCAGGTTCTGCAGGGGAACTGTCCAGCCCGGAGCAGGGAAACGAGATGGCGGACGGCCACCAGCAACCTGTTAGGGGCAAAAAAACCCTCAAAAGCATTTCTTAAAGGGGATGCGCTTTTATTTATTTATTTATTGAGCTTAACCACTCTTGGGGTCTCCCTCCTTTTTCCTCAACAGAATTTTTTCCCCATTTTTTGGGGGGGGCGAAGGGGAGTTGGAGGGGTTCGGTATTTTTGGTTAAACCATCTGGCAACCCTATACAGCCCCCCTGGTTGAGTCACAGGCTTTAGTCCCTTTTCCGGAAGATCCCTTAATCCTGATTTTAAGAGGAATAAGGGATCTTCCGGAAAAGGCTTTATTTTCCGAAAGATCCCGTCTAGACTGGCGCTTTTCTCCGGCAAAGCCCCGAGCCGGAAAAAAGCGGCAGCCATGTTCATGCAAGTGCCGCGGGGGATATTTAAATCCCCCGCGGCATTTGCAATTCTGACTTGTCTCATTAGCATCCCTATTACGGAAAAGGGTGCCAATGTAGACACAGCCTTAAAGTGTTGGGGTGAGGATAAAAGTTGTCTGATTTTGAATAACAAACCAGAAGCTGCTGGTTGTGCTTTTAATAGTAACAATAACAGCACAGCTAGGAGGAATGCTGTGCAACTCTTCCTTTGTATTTTTCCTTGAAACCTTATTTAATCTGAAATTATTATTTGCTTGGTGCTCTCTGTGAAAGTACTGACAGTGAAATTTTTTCTACAAAATGCAACAAACTATTGTCAAATGCATCCTTCATCTCCTAGTACTGGTACAAACATTATTTACCAGCTTACCAAAAGCTTCTTGTGCTTTTGCCATAAATTACATGTATCGTTAATAGTAATCATTTCTGGTTACTTTTCCCAATACAATCCAGACGATGTATTTCACTTTCCTCTACAGCTATAGTAAGTAAAATAAGTCCTATATTACACTATCTGGAGTTACCCGGCGTTGCTCGGTCCTGCTCCCTGCCGGCTGATTTGCTTCCCACTCCCGGCGAGCCCTGCTTCCTGCCAGCTGGTTCTCCTCCTCACGATCTCCCCCAGCCAGCCCCGCTCCCGCCATCC